GAGTTCACGTCAACGAAATCAAAAGATAAGTGCTGCATTTTATTAATTATCAGCTCATTTCAAAATCAAAGACCGTAATAGGAGAGCGAGCGGCATCAGCACTGGAAAGATAGGTTTGTCTTACTACTTGTAATGAAGATGATTGTGTGTTGACTGTCTGCGTCTTACTTTGTTTCATTCGCGGCAGTTTGCACTTCGGCTTGCTGAAGAGATACTCAGCTACTCGTCCACTGCGATGCGTGTTGCATTAGCGCAGTCTGACTAATGTCATATAGCCTATAACACGCTCTCACATGTTTATTATTTTAACATTTGTACATGAGTAAAATGTACATATGTGGTTTCAACAACCAGATGCATTTACACTTGTCCAGTTTCATCTGGAATGCGGCCCAGACCACCTCCTGAAGTGGTTTGAGCGATCGGATTTATATCCGTCTCGAATGCATTTCGGAGGGCATTTACACCTGGTCTTTTCACGATCGGATAGCTATCCGATCAGAAAAAACACATGAAGTGACCAGGTGTAAACAGGCCCTTATACACCTAACGAGCTGACATTAGGAGTAACGTCTTATAGTGGCAGGACTAATCTGTGTTCCACAAGGGCACATAACCAATCTGTGGGAGCCAGAATTCTTGTTAGTTGGTAGGGGATCAAATACTTATTTCATTCACTGAAATGCAAATCAATCTCTAACCTTTATATAATGTGTTTTTTCTGGATTTTTTGGTCGGTATTCTGTCTCTATCCATTAAAATAAACCTACCATAAAAATGACAGACCCTTCATTTCTTTGTAAGCGGGCAAACTTACAAAATCAGCAGGGGATCAAATAAATATTTCCCCCACTGTACACTGCATTATTTTTTTCAGTTAGTGCAATTCAACATGCTTTTTTGTTTCAAAGACATTTGTCATTGTTTTTCTTCCATATCAGAGCTGCATGCCTTTAACATTACTGAACCCACAAACTGACTAACATTTTTTTTACCAGACTATTTTGAGAACTAAAGTAATCTGATTTAGCATCGTCATGCCATTGCAAGCTGCTTTTGATGAAACACAAAATTTCATAAATAATAAAATTCATAGTCATCAATGCACACATATAAAATAAATAATCATATTTAGATAATAAAGTGGAAGAGTTTGTGTCTTATGAGTTTGTGGACAATAAAATCACAGTTTTTAATTCAGTGCATTTATTGCATGGTGAGATGGTCATTTGGTCTTTGAATAACATGCTGGGGGAGTTGGAGGATTTTTTTTAAAGGGCTTAGAAACAGTTCAAGGAATGAAAACTTTTTTGGCAGAAGAAATTAGAAAACTGGAACAAAATCCTTTTCAAAGGGGTTTCTTATGCAGACTGCATGATGTGCATATGTCCCACCACCCAAAACCAAGGGTTATTTTGGGCTTTTTTTTTTTAGACCAGGTTGCTTATTTCTCTAGCAAAACTAGGCAACACTGTTGGACATACTTTGACACCTAAAGGATCCTTAAACATGATCATCATAGTGTTATATTAAAGTAAGTTTGCATTACAATTGTATTTAAGCATTTAACCCTGATGCGCTGTTCGTTTGGGGTGTATACGCTCGTGCTGTTTGGGGACCCCAGATAACAAAATTTGATGATAATGCTTTAAAAAAAAAAAGAAAACGAATGCAATTTTACTCAATTTATTAATGTTTTTACTCTACATTTGTGCAGTTTTGGAAGGATTTATGGTATTTTTTTTTACATTTATATAAATAAAAAATATTTTTAAATAGGTTTTTTTCAAATTTTTATGTAAAATGTACTTTATAAAAGGCCCACATTCCTAATTTTTATTCATGGGAATAATGTGTGCCATAGCATAATGTGAAATTGTTTCCATCTACTTGAAAACAAACACTTTTAAAATTAGAAAAACATGAAATTTCAACTACAGCCACCAGATGGCTCTAGAGCATTACTCAATAACTCATTTGCCATTTCCTCATAGGTATAGATCTTTTCACATTTTTTTATTTAGATTTATGTTAAGAAATTATAAAATCATTATTGTAATAATAAAAAATTACTCTGTCAAAGTTTAGCAGTTTTTTGTACTGAAGTATATTTTTTTGCAGTTATGACACGATTACAGTCAAACTTGTATGTAGTGTTATATGTGTATATTAGCATGTGTGTGTGTGTGTTTGCATTTATTCTCCATTGTGGATGTGCTGTGGTGTCCCTTCATCATTTCTGTGTGTGTTATTCATTTTAGTTGATTTTTAATTGACAAATTATGTTAGAGAGCCACTCATGTCATGAACACTCTTTCATTTCTTATGAGTGGTTTTTATGGGTGTTGGGGGTGGGGTGGGATGTGTGGGTTTTTCCTCCCCCGTGGATGTGCTGTGGTGTCACCCCTTCAGTTTTTGTCTGTTGTCTGCATTGTAACTGACATTTTTGACAAATTATGTAACAAAAAAAATCATTATTTTTATAGTCTCCCATTGATTTCTATGGGAATTTTTTGGGGGTGTGGGTGTATGCGAGCGTTATCATTTTGCATTGTGAACGTGTGGAAGGGTTGCCACTTCATTTTCGTGTATTTTGTGATCTGCATTGTGGTGGATTTAGTGATTTGTATTTGACAAATTAAAAAGGAAAAAGTATCGATTTTATCATTTCCCCATTCATTTCAATGTGGAGTCTCCCGAGACCCCAAACATCATGAGTGTGACTTTTTTTGGTAACACTTTATTTTAAGGTGTCCTTGTTACAGTGTAATTATACATATAAGTACTGAATAATATTAATTAACTACATGTACTTACTATTATAATAACAATTCATTATGCAAAATCACATGCAAGTAAACCTAAGCCAAACCCAAATCCTAACCCTGACCATATAGTAAGTACATGTAGTTAATTAATATTATTCAGTACTTATATGTATAATTACACTGTAACAAGGACACCTTAAAATAAAGTGTAACCCTTTTTCACAATAACATACAACCAGATATCAATCCAGTTTAATTTTTTTATTTGTAGAGCTACCAAGTGTTGACAACCGTACAAAGTCTCATGCCATTTAGACAAAGGGAACATTTTTTTTTTATTCCAGCAAATGTCATTTGGGGACAAAAAGACCCCGAACAGCACCTAAGGGTTAAAAGTATTCTTTTATTTTTTAAGTGTCTCCTCACTTACCCTCTGAGGTATCTGCCTAAATGCCTCAAAAATTTCTCTGGCTTTGGCCTCGGGTAACTGTGGCACCAAGGAGCCCAGAGTGAAGACCACAAACCCATGCTCTCCAGAACCATTTACAAACTCTTCCAGCTCCTGCACAGAGGACAGATGTCAGAATTGAACATAAATAGGTAATATGTTTCAAGGACACAATGGATCAAGCTTAAACTGTTGACTCCTCAAAGCAGTTCTTCCTTACATTACATTACTCATTCACACAAGTACCTACATGAACTATTGAAAAGCAGGATACTGTAACATTAAACAGATCTAACCTAAAATGCTATGTGGAAGACGCAAGATAATTTAATAATTATAATATGACCGTGTGGTGAACCTATGAACCTAACTCCTATTTAAACAACTATCGCTTTCTGTTGTTAGCCAGATAAAATGACAAAGAATGGAAAAATGGATATAAGACCATCTTTCAGTGCACCAAAACACCAAGTACAAAAAGTCCACATATTAAGGCATTTTGACCTTAATTCAGGTAATACATCTTTTTGTCCCCTTCAGAAGTTACTCTTGAGAAATTTTATGTTTATTGTCCCCCCAACTGTTAGATCAAATTTATGCCCATGGGACTGCCTCACATTTCATGCAACTGAGTGATTATTCCCAGCTCCTCCCTAAAAACATGGGAATTCAGTCACACAAAGACATGAATGCTCACATGCAAGAGCCCTACAGCATGAGAGGCTTAGCAGTCAAAAGCACAGTATTCCGATTGAAAGAATGTGCTGGGAGAATGATTACAGAGCTCATGTTTTATACATGAAGTCCTGTTTTTATATGTTCAACTAATTAAATGTACTTTTAAGCTTGTCATGAATACCCAGAGATACTTGCTAGCATAAAGTACAGATTCAGAATGTATCCTCACCCTACTTAACATCTAATCTAATATCTCTCTCTTTCTCTCTGGTTATCTTTCATAAAAAAATCTTATGCATACTGAATTCAAATCTAATGCCATCATCTAGTGATGTCATCAATAATAGTAACAACAGTTATTTACTTAACTCGAAGGTACAAATGACTAGTAATTTTTATATACTTTAGTACCACCTTTTGGCGCATTTATGCATCCTGCAGAAAGAGTCACTGTAAAATCCCCACCACTAAACTACAGACTGACAAACACAAAGACAATAAGTGGAATAATCCCAGCAGTGAAAGGTCCTAGTGTTTTTGGACTAAATTGCTGAATTAAATATACCATTCTACTCTTACTATTTCTGCTATATAAAGATATGGCAGCAAAAATAGTAAGAGTAGTTTGGTAGTGTCCAACAGCTGCCATCTATGGGCATCACCAGCTTCTCAGCCCATACTTTAAGATATATATATTGCAGTTACGGTTGGAATCAAGTCTTCATTGGGTATCTGGCAACCTCAAACATGATCACTAGCATAATAAATTCTTGTACAGCAGTCTGAAATGTTTTGGCTCCACTTTTTTCAACAAAAATAAAAAGGTTTTGGTAAAGTTTTTGTTCTTTTAACTGCATTTTAGTCCTGTCTTTTTTCGTCAACGATATCGCATGTTCATTTAGTCTCAGTTATCGTTTCATGATCTTATTATCATCTCGTCATCGTCTCGTTTTTGTCAGGGGAAAAACTTTGTTGACGAGCATTTTTCATCATAGATTTCGTTAATGAAATTAACACTACTCGAGAGAAAACAGACACTTTTTCAGCAGCCTTGGATTGGTTCTTCAATAGAGAGAGTTTGAGCCTTGAACCAAACCAACCAGCTCTGTTTCTGAAAATCTGAACAGAAAAACTGTATAAGACTGTAGGGAATCCATGCAAACAATGCAGTGATTGCAATAACATTATTGTAATAACGATGCAATTATTATATAGATATAAATACACATATCACTAAGATTTTTTTTTAAAGAAAATAATACGTTTTTTTCGCCAAGGAAGCATTAAATTGACCAAAAGTGACAGTAAAGACATTTATAATTAAATTATTATAATTCAATTATGATATAATTATACAAAAGTTTTCTATTTCAAATAAATGCCACTCTTTTGAACTTTTGAAAAAAATGCATCTCGGTTTCCACAAACATATTAAACGTTTTTTAACATTGATAATAGCAGCTTTGCCATCACAGAAATAAATTACATTTTAAAATATATTCAGATAAAAAAAAAAAAGCTTGTACAGTACTGTATGTCGTTGTTTCAGATCACGGTGCCTCCGCAGAGCAAGGGCGTGTGAATGGTTGCCAGATTGCATAAAGCAAAAAGCTGGACAGAGTAACGTACGTATACGTTTAACAGAAATCTCTGATTGGGGGATCTGAGCTCTTGATATCTGGCAACCGCAAACATGAACGCTCGCATAATAGAGTCTTGTACAGCAGTCTGAAATGTTTTGGCTCCACTTTTTTCAACAAAAATAAAAAGGTTTTGGTAAAGTTTTTGTTCTTTTAACTGCATTTTAGTCCTGTCTTTTTTCGTCAACGATATCGCATGTTCATTTAGTCTCAGTTATCGTTTCATGATCTTATTATCATCTCGTCATCGTCTCGTTTTTGTCAGGGGAAAAATCTTTGTTGACAAACATTTTTCGTCATAGATTTTGTTAACTAAATGAACACTAGTCCGGTTAGAACAATGATGTCTCAAACCAGGAAATGTTATCAAAATTATCCTTTACTGAGCAAAATTAAACAGAACTTTAAAATATCCAGTCAGCAAATCTTTGCTTCAGTCTCTCCTGGCAGCCGAGTTCTTTCTAGAGAATGACGTCAGACCCCCTCCTTTTTATATGAGAAGTCAACAATGGAATGGACTAAAAAAGTTGACTTATACAGTAAACTAGAAAATCTATCTATTCAATAAACTTTAAGATTTTCCAATATAATAGTCTAGAAAGTTTGCTAATGTAATAAGCTAGAAATTTTACTAATATAACTAACCTGAAAATTTACTATAACAGGCAAGTCAACTCTAAATAACAATTGAATACAAATAAACCACTAATAAAACTAAGCCTTTTTTTTTTTTACAAGTATAGTAGAGGTCTTCAACCCTGTTCCTGGTGACCCACTGTCTTGCAAAGTTTATTTCCATCCTGCTTCAGCTCACGTGCATGTGTATTTTCAAGCAATCCTGAAGAACTTGAATTAATAGTTTTCAGCCACATGACCTGTGTGGTGACCTGGCGGGCAAAACAATGGGCCAACATGGCAGCATACACAGGGCTATCCGTAGAAATGCAGCACAAGCCGATGAAATTTCTTTCTGTTTCAAGCTACAAATATTTGGATCACCTGTCAATAGAAGAAAAACAAAGATATGAACACAAACTCCAAGTTTTAGGCACTTGCGATCCATATACAGCACCCGCCCCCATATTTGGGTCACTAAAAACCGCCAAGTCCCAGCCAGAGCTCCACTTTGGTGATGTTTACATCTATCTTGTGGAGAATCTCTCACCTTACACTGCAGCCAGGATGAAAGCGCACAAAATCAGGATGGGTCAATAATGCTGCCGTTTGGGAGGTGAAGAACACAAAATTCTTCATTATCAAAGCCATGGTGAGTAGGCCTACTAATTAACAAACACTATCTATCTAATGTTAATCCATGGGTCGATAGTTTCAGAGTGATTGTAGTTAATGTTCTAGGGGAGTAAGTTTTGTAGGTTAACAAAATACATTATGGCATAAATCTAATAAAAACCTGTTTTCCAATGTCAGGTAAATCATTCCTACAGTTTAAACCAGTGTTTCCCAACCTTTTTTAGTCGCGGCACCCTTTGGAAATTTTAACAAACTTGTGGCACCCTACAAAATTAATTTTGTCACAATATTTGAATTTCTAACTTCGATATGATAATACGATACACCACTGACAAGATTCCACCCCCAACCCCAGATGAATGCACAGCATTTTACAATATGCTACATTTATCAGAAGACACTGAAAAGGAACCTGTCCAATCGGGTGGTGCGTGCAGACGCACTGCACTTTTCTCTTGAAAAAGGTTGAGAAGCTCGGATGGATGTTTGATCCAGATGCAGTTTACATGTAGGTGAACTTCACCAAAAAGAAGTTTCCTCCTACCTTATTACCTTCCTGAGATATTGCACATCAAATAAGAAAGATAAGTGAAATTTCCCTTGAGCACACTTTTTTATTTTTTTTTATCAGCAGTTTCTCAGCATGATAATGTCCAAATATAATGAAAATGTAGAACGTTTTCAATCAAACGATACCTAACTTTTAACTCTCCTTCCTATAGCTTTGGAGTTATGAGTCTTTACTTTTGTGTAATCACTCAGAAAAAAACAACAACTCTAAAATTGCCTTCAGGGGTTTTAAGGGTTAATAACAGCACTTAATATGTGGGGGTGTGGTAGAGTTTCGGTGATTGGCCCACCGGAAAAAGTTCAGGTGCTCCCGATTGTCAGTCAATCTAGGCCTACTTTTCCTTTCGTCCACAGCCAATCACAGGCCCCCTCCTTGCCCAGACCCTGGGACGGATGTTAATCTGGCCCTGCCCAGCTCCTCCACAATGGGCTTCGTCCCTAACCAGCGACTGTCATCTGATGGAACAGCCAACAGTTTCCAAGCTTCAGCTGAATCAAAGAGGAACACTCCCAGAAGCAACCACATGACAGTCATTCTATCAGTGGTGTGAAGTACAGTGACATTTGAAGGAGATTAAGGAAGGAAAAGACTCATGCAGTGTAACCACACAGGTTAAAGTGCAATCATAAATGAGTCAGGACTGGGTTCAAATGATGACGATGTTTGCAACTAGAAGGATGTGCTCAATCCAAATATGGCATTACGGTAATCAATTATTCACTATTGTTTGTGGATTATTTATATTTATGCACACAGAAGAACTTCTCACAAAAAGATTCCACCCAATACAGAATGTGCACACACATTAATTTGTTCTTAACCTTATTCAAATGAATTTGGAGAATTCTAAATTAGATATTGGTTGTGCTGATGCTGTTTAAAGCCTGTGCAGACCTCTACCTGATGTCATCGACAGAAGCTTCGAAGCCTCAGTATCAGGCATAACATCACTTGAAGGACTTACCTGGGTTTCT